ATGAAATTCTCTATATATGAAATTTATGATAAGGCATATTTAGCCATGGAGAAAAGCAGGTAGTCATATGATTCTTCCATAAAGGCCTCAGCCTTTACTTTTATTTATTTCTACCACTGTTTTTGTTTTGCTTCTGTTGTACATGCAGCAGTCAACTGTACACTCAATGCAAGTGAAAACTGTCCTTTGTTACTGCAACTGTTGGCTAGACCTATCATTCTTTGTGCATTCATTTCCCAGTACTTGTGGTCCACACCGTCCACAAAATGAGCTTCTCCTGTCTGATAGGAAAGCAGATCTACTGCTTTGATTATTTCTTGGCATTTCTCCCTAATTCTGTGGTGTCATTTAAAGTTGTGCTTTAAAGTATTATATATTCTATTATTGAGTCCAGTTCCCTCTTTTCTTGAAGCTATCATCTTAAACTCTCTGAACAAGAGCCATCTGGAAATCTTGATCCTGCCCTCCATCCTTTCTGTGAGTCCACGTCAGCACAGCTGGGTTGCAGCAGGCATTGCCTAGGTGCTGCTGGACTGGCTATGCTCCAGACCCCCACTGTTAATATGCAGCTCTTGTCGTTTTGTGTTAAGCATGGTTAGTAGATGAAGCTCAAGACAGCATTCAGAAGTTCAGGCTCCTTTGGGCACAGATGCTAATCTCACAGTCACATATGATTTGAGTAATGCTGTTTATATGTAGAACTTCTGTTGCCACATGGTTCCAGTCTGCCCAGTCTCCATATTGACACTGTAGAAACTTTTTCACTTTTTTTCCCCAAGAGGCCTGAACTAAGTACTATATAGACTATGCAAACAGAAATATTTTCTCTGTATTAAAGGGACTGCTATAAATCTAACATGAAACCAAACGTCATTTTTATGCTGTCAAAATCGACAACTTCTACTGTCTCTACTTATTCACCAACCCAAACAAAATTTGAGGCTTTAAACCAGCAATGTCCAATACAACTTTCTGCAGTGATGGAAATTTTCTACATCTCCTCTGCCCAGTACAGTAGCCATTAGTCACATATGGCTATTAAGCATTTGAAATATGGCTTCTGCAGCCAAGGAATGGATTTTTAAAATCTTATTTCATTTTAATTAATTTAAACTTAAATTTAAACAGACAATGTGGCTAGTGGCTCTCAACAACTAAGGGTCTGAGATTTTTACCCTACTTGCAGGCTAACGAAATTAGTGTGCCACAGTTTCATGAGGATGCTGCAAAAGACAGGAAATTCTAGGGTCAGAAACAAAGGACTATACTACTCACAAAAATAGCAGTAGTATCATCATAGTTGTGCCAGTCTCTTGAAACTCAGTTCCCCTGATGTGATGTGAAGTGGACACTCAATGATTTGCATTGTCAGAGGGAAACCCTGAGCTTAGGGTACTTGAATCTTTTAATCTGGACGATGAAATCTACCTGCCCTTTGCTCCAGAGGGAAAGAATACCTCTATCTTCCAAAACTATGTACTATATAAATGTCTTTGAGTAGAGAGTCTGGGATGAAAGCAGTAAATGCCTTTGCTCAGAAGACATGCAAAAATCTGAGTGACTTACGTGGAATTAAATCCCAACATAGGGGTATCCTACATATCTCTGAAATCCACTCATCTCCCTCCTGCTTGAGTACCTTGCTTTTAGCCATACTTAATTTCTTCCTATGATCTTCCAAAATGGTTAGCCTTCTTCCACTAGTGCCTCCTCCCACTCATTCCCTATACAGTAGCTAGAATGCATCTTGTAACACAAATCTAATCTTGTTTCAGTCTTCAATGTCACCCACTGTCCTTAGGATTAGGCCACCCCTCAGCAAGGTTCACGAAGCCCCAAATGAGGTGGCTCTGCCTTATCTGCAGCACTTTCCTTGCTTGTCTGCGTAAGGTTTATGCCATAAGCCACCTTAAACGCCTCTGATTTTCTTACATGTAGAGGTCATAAAGTGGGGCCCTAGGTTGAACACCAACTACAGATTGATCTGGTTTGGCCCACAGAATAGTTTTTAAAACATTTGGGCTATTTCATATTTGGGAGATTTCATATTTATAAAAATATGAATTTTAAGCTCCTCTTTAGAAATCAAGGCATCTGGCAACAATTGGCCTGAATCCCAACCCGACAATACTTGGCTGAAACTGAGTATCTACTTTTCCCTTTAGACAGCCTGGATTCTCCAGATTGCCACGCCTCTCCCTGCTGCTCCTACCTATGTATTCTTTTACATTTTCTGCCTGACTTCCATTCTAAAGCATCATGCTTCCTTTGGTCTAGAACACTCTTTCAATCTTCCCACTTCTTTAGCTGCTAACTGCCACTCATGCTTCAGGTCTTCATGTATTCGTGCCGCTAGGAAGTTTTCCTTCACCACCACCAACCCAGTTAGGATAAGATGATGCACTGTGTGACACTCACCTACCCAGGACCCTGCCATCCCATCGTATCTTCTGAGGTTCTCTGCCCTACTCTTATCATGCCATGAGTCACACGATATTACAATTTTATAAATATTTTCTTTCTAAATTTATAATTCTCTGTTTACAAATCTCCATCCCTTGCTAGACTTTTAAGTTATAAGAAAGTGACTACAACTGTCTTGTATACCACTGAATGTCACTGCCTAGGAAAAAGTCAAACATATCGTGTGGGCTGAACAAACACATGTTGCATAAATGAATGAAACAAGTTAGCTGAGGAATGGCTACTTCAAAATATGGGGAAGAGTGTATTTATATTTTTATATATGTATTTATTTTTTTAATGTGAACCACTGAAATGCCATTCCTTCCCCCTCTCCCCCTACCCTGGAGAAACTAAAATAACGGCTTGAGTCATAGAGCAACAGCTATATACTGGCAATGTGCTAAGACCCACACATGGATTAGCTCACTTAATGCTGACAACAGTCCTTTCAGGTTAGTACTTCATTATTTCCATTCTGGAGATTTAAACCATTAAACCCTGGATAAGAGGAAGGCCTTATTCTCCATAACACTACAGTCAATTGTAGGGATACACAATGACTGAAATTTCTGCCAGGAGACCTGAGAGCACATGACAGCAACAGCAACTTTATTGACAGCCCCTGTCTTTTGAGCTGTCTGTGGTTTTAATAATTAGCTTTTACAGATGAAAAGAATTCAAATGGTAAAGAAAGTTCTTATACACACAAGAAGCTTTCATGGCTATTACACCAACTGACACAGTTTCCAGGGCAGCAACAAGGATCTTTAATCTCATTTCACAAATAGAAAAACAAAGGTATGGAGCAATAAGGCCAAATGTAAAGTTAACACTCAGCGTGCACCTCAGCCCACCATGCCTTAATGTGAGAGTCCAATCAAAGCCCTCAAAGCCCTGTACGTAAAAACCTAAGAAATTCTACATATAGCAGATAGATAAATTCTTGCTAGAAGAAAGAAGAGCATCAGGGTTGAGTCAAACAAAATACAATACAACCTAGGCAGAAAGTCAAGGTCCCTGATCAATCTTTTCCAGGTGGAATTCTTGCTCATTGTTTGCCTGGAGCTAAAAAAAAAAAAAAAAAAAAAAAAGTTTTAAAAACAAGCAAAATTCTCACTAAGAGTCTTTTTTTTTTTTCTTTGCCGCCCAAGTTGGAGTGTGGTGGCATGATCACAGCTCACTGCAGCCTCAACCTCCCAGATTCAAAAGATCATCCCCCCTCAGCCTCTTGAGTAGCTGGGACTACCAGCATGCACAACCACACCTGGCTTTTTGATTTTTATTTTAAAATATTTTTTGTAGAGACAAGGTCTCACTATGTTGCCCAGGCTCGAACTCCTGAGTTCAGGAAATACTCCCACCTTAGCCTCTCAAAGTGTTGGGATTACAGGCATAAGCCACCGCACTCAGCCTCACCAAGTCTTGTAACTTTTAAAGTCAAATTTCCAGAGTCACTTCTGGACCCGCCAGGCCTTTAAGTGTCCAAGTTCCAGCTTATTAAAAATCTTACATTAAATCTCTGTATACTTTTCTAGGCATTATAATTTCCAACTTCAAGGAGTTGAGAAAAAAACTGTATGAGGGCACCTCAATTTTATGGACTTGTTGAATGACCTTAGAATTAAAATTTCTCTAGCTTTTAACATTTGATTAGCATATCATACATGTATAGAATGTTTTTCTGAGCTTTCATTCTAAAAATGCAGAATTCATTTTATTTCTAAGTGTAGCTCAATTTGATGAAGTAGAAACACATGACATTTTATTTTAGAAAGCAATGTCTTAGCAAACTTGTTATTTGTTCCAATCTACTATGTAAACTCACCAAATGATCTTAAAGAGCCTTTGATAATGCATTCTTGACCTCATTTTGTTTGCCATGTATAATCATTAGAAGACTGTTCATATAAAAATATGAAATAAAACTATATAGTCTTTAAGTTACATTGGAAGGCCCTTTAGGACAAGAAACATACTCTATATCTTTCTATCTTTAAATAATATAGCAGAGTGCATCACACAGTGAAAATGCCTATCAAATCAGGAATGCAGGAACAAGAGGGCTTATCATTTAATATCAATTCTAAAGCTGATTATTTATTTTTGAGACAGGGTCTCACTCCATCACCCAGGCTGGAGTACAGTGGTATAATCACAGTTCACTGCGGCCTTCACGTCCAGTAAAGCTGATTTTTTTTAGGCCATTTACTTGCTTCATAAAGTAACTAGAACGGTATGAACTATGTTTTTCTGTGCCTGTGATTATAAACTGAAAATTTACTAACAATATGTCACATGTCATTTGAGCTAAATGTGTGATTTTACCAAAATGAAGGTCCCTTCCTGGATTATTAGAATTAGCAACACATTTAAATTTGCATCTAGTATAGAAAAGAGATTGTAAAGAATGTGCAATATCTGAAGCAAACAAAGTCCAATAAGATCTTCCCTGTATTTGAATTTCTATGACCGAAGAGGCACAGGATGTAAGGCCCATAGCTTTGTGCATAGGGATTGGTGAGGAAGGGACGATTTCAACTCAGAACCCTAACGACCAGTTCCGGGAACACATGCCTTCTAGCCCAACAAAGCTACTGACCAAATCATCCAAGGAGATAATCACATCTCAGCCAAAGGACTGAACTCAGACGATCAGAACACAAAACCTGCCATGAGGCAGCCGCACGAGACAAGAGACCGTGCTCAAAATCACGTAATACCCTAAGTCGTCCCAAGGGAGCCCACAACTACCCTCAGCGGCGGGCAGAACTGACGCGTATTTTGCAGATGACAACGCAGTGGTTCAGATGCGGCGGGTCCCAAGGCCACACAGCTGGGAAGGTGACTGAACCTAGACTTAACTAGTATTCCAAGTGGTGGATACTTTCCATTCTGCCTGGGCGATAGCCCTTCGCCCGCGTATTACACTCCGAGGCTGGCAAAACAGCAGGAAGAGAGCAAAGCTGGGCAGGGACGGGAAAGAGGGCAGGGAATTTCTACTGCTTCCCGGCACTCGCCCCTACTCCACACCCCAGGTCGCTACTACGCGGCGGCCTCTACTTCCCCAAACTAGACTCCAGGGCGGGCGGGGGACCGAGGAGGCGTTCTCGCTGTCACCGAGAGTTCTCCAAGTTGGGGGCAGAAAAGGCGGCGAATGAACAAATGTACCCCCTAGGGTAAGGGCCACAAGGAGAAGTGCGGAGGTGAGAAGGACAGGAGGGGGGGATGACCCTTTACAAACTGGCCAGGGATTTAATGGTGGTCAGAGAGGTTTGGGAAATGCGAGGATGGCTCCGTCCCCAAAATCCTCCCCATCCCCCCACCCCCAACCCGGGCAGCTCTGGAGAAAAAGCCACAACCTCCTGGGGCGCCAGGAATTGGAGGCAGCAGGATCCTGGGCCCGGGCCCCCTTCCGCGCCCCCACCCTCACCCTTGCCCAGCCCGCCTCGCACTGGCGGCGGCGGCGGCGGCGGCGGCGACACCAACCTGCGCGGCCACGGGCTCTGTCCGGGACGGAAGCGGGAGCCTGCGGGTGGCGGAGCGGCGGGCGGAGTTAGTTGGAGGCTCCGGCTCCCTGGGCGGGGACAGGATGAGCACGCGGCGGGAGCGACAGTGGCGGGGGCTCCCTCTCCTTCGCGCGCGCGGGGCCCCGGCGGGTCCGCTGAGCGTCCTGGACTCCCGGGGCAGCTCTCAGTCCCTCCCCCGGGCGGCTCCCGGGCCAGCCCAGCTCTCGCCGCCTCCACGCCGGCTGCGTTTGCTCCGCCCTGCCTCTTTGGGCGCAGCGGCCTCGGGGCTTGGGAACTGGAGCCCCGGCGAGTCCCCGCGATTGCGCGAAGCTTCCCGGGGTTTCCCTGAGGGAATCGCGTGTGCTGGGTGTGTGAACTCAGGTGCGGGCCAGAAGTAGCCAAGAGCTAGAACTCTTGCCCAAGTGCCCTGGGGAAGGGAGTGAAGGCCGGGCCTGAAAGTCTCTGACCGCTGTGTCGAGTCCCTGGAAGCAGCCCTGCGAAGTGGCCACGCCAGCTGTCCGGAGGGAGGCAGAGGAAAATGTCCGACTCTCTCTTCGCCCAGTCTCGGGCCAGAAGAACGTTTCCCGGGAGAAGGAAGGACCCCTGGACCCCCAGTCCTTGCTCCTGCCTGGGGACCAGGCTGAGTGTATGGGAGTGGAGGACAGAGCACCGGGGCTGAACGCGTGGGAAATGTGTGATTTCTATTCACACCATCTCTTTGCCCAGTCCCTAGATTCAGGCCACCTAGATCAGGTCTGCTCAATGCTTCCCAGCTCGCACCTCCGACCCGGGGAGGGAGGTGGGTATCCCATTCTTAGCCTGGCTTCCCACCTCCGTCTGCATTCCTTTCTGGGAAACCTTTTTAACCCTCCAGAGTGCCTAGTGCGCACACACCGATCACTTCCGCCACTAAACTGAGGGCAGGGAACTCTGGAGCCACCACATCCCTAGCCTTACCCCAAAGCCGGAGAAAGCAGGGAGCCGTTGGTGGGGTGGTGGGGGCGGGGCTGGAGAGTTTCAGTAGGAAGGTTTTATACCCAAGAGGTTTGATGATGTGCAGTACTGACCCCACACACACATTGATATGCGTTTAACTGAGGACAGGTATTTGCTACGGTCTCTCCCTTTCTGCAGGTAACCGTCTGAGTGCGTTCACCGCGCCTCTTCCATCTACAGCGCCTGCCCAGCCGCCTCTCCTCCCGGAGTCCCATCCTCCCTTCCCCCACGCTTTCCCATCCCATCTCCCTGCAGCGCGGGTCCCGAGCTGCTCCGGATCCCCAGCGCCGAGCTCTGGTCTTTCCAGACAACTCCATCCCTTTGGAACCTGGTATGGTAGCGGGGAGGTTAGGAGAAGGGACACTGAGGAAGATAAAGAAGAAGCCAGTGGACTGGAGAGAAGGTGCGAACCGAAGGGGCATGCGAGAGAGGAGCGGCGGGAAACCAGGCAAAGCCCTTAGGCTATAGGGGGATTCCCAGAAAGAAAATCCGTTTCGCCTTTGAGAAACCACCGATGCTCGCTGTCTATCAACTGGAAAGTCTGTACAGCCTCCCAACAGAATTCCTAGCGAGCAGTGGGGAGACTGGTCAGGGCCTAGAGCATGCGTCCACGAGCTCCACTTCCCAACCCAAATTCCAAGGCAGCAGATGACCCTAAGCTCTCCGCCGGTGATGAGAAATTCATTCTGGAAACTGATTCTGACAAGGTGCGAGAAAACACGGAGCTGAGTCTGTTTAGGGATCCCCGGGCTGTTCTTCGTCTTTAGGCATCTCCTAAGTCACATGTCACATCTCTTCCTCCTGGTCTGGGTTACTAAGGAAAGCAAGCACCTGAGACCCTCCCTCAAATACGACTTCGTGTGTGTGTGTGTCTGTGTGTGTGTGTGTGTGTGTGGTGTGAGAGAGAAGAAAATGTGCAGAGGCAGGAGTCCTGGGCTATGGCATTTTGTGGTTTCTCCCTTTCTCTCTCTCTTTTTTTTTTTTTAAGTTCAATACAGTACATTTTTGTGCCAAGATGATTTTAGTGGGTTAGTGGGTGACTATATTTTTGCCTTAAAAAATGTGTGAGAGTAGTTGGGACAGCACTTCTAAATGTAACCTGTTGGTGAGCTCTCACGCCTTCAAGGTCCCGGTTGGCACAGCCGATTTTAGCTGTACTGTCAGACACCGAGTAGTGCGCCTTGCCTCAGAGCCTCAGAGTAACAGCCTCAAGGCATTGCATTCTGTGTGCAGGCCAGCTTGAGCAGTGGAGCCAAATACCTCCACTTAGGTGAGGAGAAGCCCCCCTTTTCACTGTCCTCAGGGCTCCACCCCACCTGAAGTTATCTCTGCATTATGTGTCATTACAAGACTAGTCGTTAGTGTCCCAGTTTTACTTACAAAAACACTACATCCAATTTAATTATAATACCTCTTACTCCCCTTCTTATTTCCTCTAATGCTCAAAAGGCTAGGTCACTGAAAGTTCAAGAGGTTAGAAGGGGCCTGCCTGAACCAAATTTCTCTTTTTCTTCTCATTAAAAGAAAAATAGTCCTCGAAAGAACCTTATTAAACTTATATCCTTTCTGAATATGGTAATCTCTCTGTATCGATTATTTTAATTTTATATTAATGATATGATCTTACTGCAAAAGGTGACCAGTCACCTGATGGGGATAAAGGGTCTAGTTTCTTCCTGGAGAAATTCTGGCAGCTAAAAAGAATGGAAGGGTTTATTTACAGGCAGCAGAATTGGTCTCAGGCAGTGTTACCAAGTAGATGGAGACCGACATTCCTCTGTAAACCTCCCTCTTTTTTTCAGTTTTCTTTCATGGCAGCCATGTCCACCTAATACTGCCAGTTCTCCAAGCCAATTTACCTCACACAAAAGTGTTAGGGACTTCAGATGTTATTTCCTGCTAGTGTTTGTCTTGAAAAAGAGCGACATTTCAAGCAGAAGTGAGAGAGTAAAGGAGGATTCATGGAAAATATTTCCTGTACCCTTTATTTTTTGACCTTTCTTTTCGTCATTTTATATAAAGATGGGTCTGATAGACAGAACATACTGTAAACAACTTGGCAACAGTTCAGGCCTATAGGCTTCTTTGAAAATTAAAAAAAAAAAAAATGCACCCCTCCTCATTTCACGGCACTTCACACATGATCTAAGAGCACAGAGGGTTACATTCAAGTAGCAGAATAAGCTTCAAAATGGCTATATCAAACAGTAAGATTTGCTTATGCATATTAAGAACTACAAGAGAAAATATTAATTTCAATTTGCAAGTTGTCAAAAAGCACCTTGTGGGCCATATAACGAATAGCCCCATGTTAAAGTAATATATGTTTGTTCTTTAACAAATAAATTTTCCTCTGAAATATAGACGTCTGTCATGGAGTCAATTATCTTGCACAGCATGTGCTATAAAAGCATATAAAAGCAATAATGTACTACATTGCTTATTTGAAATTGATCAGGAATACACAGCTGCATGCTGGCATGTCTTTAATTTCATGGTGTTAAGAAAAGACTATAGAAGTATGAAAGAGCAAACCCTTTCCTACTGGAGTACTAATTCAATTACCTATCATGATATATATAGGAGGAAAAATTTTCCTCATTAGCTGGCAGAAACACTATGGGACCGTTTTCTCGTCTTATTCTACTGACTGTTGTAGCGAGAGTGTGAACATGAAGTTTCCTTTGAAAACAAAGGGATCACCACAGTCTGATCAGTTCCAGGGGTGTGCACAAGAACAAAGATAGAAATGGTATTCTAAGGACATAAATTATCATTTAAACGAGGTGAACATTTACGAAATTTATGCATCAAACAGATCTCAAGATTTGAAAGTGTAATAAGGGGTAGTTAGAACAAGTTGAACTTCCTTGATGTAACGCAAATGTGAAACCTCTTTCTCTCTTTTCTCGGGCTGACTCGAATTCTCCCCTCTATCACTGCATGATGCACACATAAATAAAATAACAAAATATTTTGCAGAAAGCTCTGCCAGGTTAAGTACACAGAGCCTTCTTGAATACCCCATATTACTTTCTCTTGTGACATGTTAAAACAGATTTGAAAAAAAAATCTTAAGGGTAATATTTTAATAGCTTCACTTAGAGAGTAGAATGCATTATCATTACGGTATAAAGGGTATCATTCATTTTTAATTCCTTGCTCCACAGGTGTTCCCTGCCCAGACTGTGGTTGACACTTAGAGGGCCTAATTATGATTCATATATCCCACATTCTGCAGAAATTGGCTCCTCTAACTCCACACAATGTCATTATTCAGAGGAGAAAAATACGTTTCAGTACCACTGGCTAAACATAGTGATTCTCAATCTTGTCTACATATTAGAATCACCTGGAAAGCTTTAAGAATCCTGCCACTTCGGCCTTGCCTCAGATTGGCCTCAGACCCAATAAACAAAAATTTCTGGGGGTGGGGCCTGAGGAGAGGTGTTTAATTCCCCAGGTGGTTTTTATGTATAGTCAAGGCAACCATCTGCAGAGTATAAACACTTAGCAAATAAAACTATTCTTTGTTAATATACTATTAGCAAAGAACTACTTACCTATTAGATGCAGTTAAACTTTTTTTTTAATTAAAAAATTTAATTTGGTTTGATGAGGTAAGCTCTCCATACCAAGTTATGTGGTCTCTACCTATCTTAGGTGTCTGGCTGTGCTAGCAAGGCTGGTTCACAAAGAAAATGCATGACATGTCAAAAAAAGACACAGCAGCATATCCATGACGTACCCTCATTTTGGTGGATCTGTGAGTGGAATCAAACCCATAGCTCACTGTAGGAAAACAGACATGGGGGAAATTGAACCTTATAAGTCTTAAATTCCCACATTTAATCCCCTTGAGCTATTAAGCCATTATCCAATTGTGCAGTTAAAAAACAGATACATGCTATAATTAATTCTTTCTATAAAGTCCAAAGTTTAGAAACAAAATAATTACAAGGACAACCAGGGTCATCAATTTTATGTAGATTGAGCACTAAAGAAGAACCAAATATTTGATTCTGAAAAAGGAGTGTTAAAGTGCTGCTGGCAGTTTCACATACGTAGTTAATACATTCTGTATGCTTGTGGAATGAAAATAGTCCAACCCAAAGTGAATACATGATACTTTATATAAATAAGATATATAAATCATAAAAACTTTGTCCATACAGATTAGTATGATGTAGAATGAGGTGAAACAGGCAGATCAAAGGGGACAATCTGTTGATAGGAAATGGATATACTGGAGAAATTGAATAGACAAATTTTATTTGACTGGATAGTGGAGATTATAAGGTCAAGTGAAGTCTAAGTAAATACTGCTTTTCTCCACTGCCTGATATGAAGTGATTACTAGCAGTCTAAGAAATTGGTATGATGGTGATGGAAGCTAAAATAATCATGGAATCACTAGAAGTTTCTGGAAATCAATGTCTATGACACTCAAGGCTCCACAAGCTTTGATTTTTTAAATAAGAAATTTACTGGGCCGGGCGCGGTGGCTCAAGCCTGTAATCCCAGCACTTTGGGAGGCCGAGGCGGGTGGATCACGAGGTCAAGAGATCGAGACCATCCTGGTCAACATGGTGAAACCCCGTCTCTACTAAAAATACAAAAAATCAGCTGGGCATGGTGGCGCATGCCTGTAATCCTAGCTACTCAGGAGGCTGAGGCAGGAGAATTGCCTGAACCCAGGAGGCAGAGGTTGCGGTGAGCCGAGATCGCGCCATTGCACTCCAGCCTGGGCAACAAGAGCGAAACTCCGTCTCAAAAAAAAAAAAAGAAATTTACTTAGTAGTTTTTCACCTGATGGATAGATTTAATTTCCTAATAAGGGGAAAATCCTTCATATTTTTCAAGTGAAAAATATACAAAAATTGTTCATATGTATAAATTAAATGGGAAGGATTGGTAGATGCCGTTAAAATATTTGAGTGGTCTCAATTTTGTCAAATTTAGAAAATGCTTATACTTTTTTGGATTTTCCCAAATAATCATGTAATACATTTACTGTTTGGAAAAAATGATCAGTTTTATGTTCAAAGGGCATAATCTGCCTCTTTTGTCATAATCTGTTTCTTTTCAATAAATCGAAAATTGAAAATGAAGTATATTTGCTACACAAATATAAAACTACACAAATAGTTTTCTTGTTCATCATATTTGTATTCTTTTTTATTTTGCAGCTGTAGATTTTTGTCTCTATTTTAGATTCTTAATCTGATGGCATTGGAGATTTGTTTTCAACAAGGAAAAAAAAAACCAAACAGATGTATAAAGAATGACATAAACTTTCCAGTCACATTTAGCAGCAACAGAAAACCACAAAAGGGTGTTGGAAATTTTTTGGTTTTATCACAAATAAAAAAAGCTTTTCAAATTAGCACACAGGAAGTCAGAATACCTGCTTCTCATTATTATACATTTATTGCTAATAAGCTGTGTGGCATGTGCATTACTTCTCTCTGGGTCTCAGTTTTTTCATCACACATTGAGGGGTTGGCCTAGAGGACTGCATGTTTCTTTCAGTATGAAATTATTCTATGAAAAAAAAAACACAAAAATTAATACAAGAAAATGTTTTGAGATTAGAGCCCTGTGTTTTGGAAACATTGATGGCTAAAAAAAACAACTGTTTTCAAATGCCAGTGTTTTCTTAATGCCTCACCCAACAGCCATGATGCTGTTGCCTGTCATGGGAGGT